GTTCGAATTAGCAAAATGCTAATTCGAACTAGTTTTTAGTTCTAGACGCGTTAGTTCGAATTAGCTTAGTTCGAATTAACTAATTCGAACTAAGTTAGTTCGAACTAACTCTGTAGTGTAGACATACCCCAGGAGAGGAATACCTTGTATAAAGAAGGACCTTTGTTGCCCAGAGCACCCCAAAACAGCAAAGAGAATAGAAAACATTCCAAAAATTCTGAGATAACTGACTCAGCAAGAAACACCAGCCACGAGTATTATGATTAGAGTTTTTCAAAGGCATCTCTAGGGACGAGATGTCCAAAACTTACTGAAATCCTGTGGCATTTTTGTAGGCATTCACTCTGATGTCCTTACCCTTGCCTGAAGATTGTAAAGCAAGGTGCTGTGCTCTGTTATCTTCTGCCTCAGAAGTGACCACATTTGAGTGGTGACATTTCAGGATGAGACATTCCTCCATATGACTATTTTTAAGTTCTTCTGTCTCCCCAGATCTTTCATTCTTGTCATCCTCCTAAGCAGGCAAATTCTTTCTACACAAAGTACAATATTGTGGGATTGTGTAAGTCCCAAGAAAGTAGTTCGTGCCTAACATGATAAAAATACATTTTTAAATATTTTCAAAGGTATCTGCCTTCCCAAATAATCTGTTTGATGGGTGTCCAAATTAGACATGATGGTAAAAGAATACTAATACCAGTATCTCCTGGAATTCCTTCATATCAACTATTAACGGAGCATAAACATGGGCCTTTCGGTATGATAAATGAGAATAAGAACAATATCAAATCATGTAAGTCCACTATGATGTCCCAGTGAGAATTTTGTTAGAATTGACTTCATGTTGTTGACACTGTAAGTACTGATGATTTAATCTTGCTTTTGTTATTAATTTTGGCAGGGAGTCATAAAGAAACTCTGCCTGAATTGTTTATTGGCTAATATCCTACTCTTTAATGTGCTTCTTTATTTAACTTGTCACTGTAACAACTAGCTGATTGACATCAAATCATTTCTTCCTGGCCTTTATCCAACTTTGCTCATCTGTGAAGCTCTTATATTGCTGGCCCACCTCCTCTCTCCTCATTATCTTTTGTTCTAAGATACATATGCCAAACATGTTTGTTTTGGCAATATCATTCGGTGGATTAGCTGAATAATGCCATCTGGTGGGCATCTGATGTTACCCCCACAATGGGGAGCTTTATCTGAGGGCTGCATCTGGCCCTTTGGCTTTACGCATTAAGTGGATACAAAAGCTTGTCTGAAAGGCAATCCGAGTTTCAGAGATTTTAGAAACATAGTGATAGCAGTTCCCAAGCCAGGTGGAAATCAGTGGGCAACACTACCCAGCAGGCTGAAGTTTCTGTTATGGAAACTCTTTGTAGGATTGTCTTATTTGTCCTTCAGATAAGGTCGAAAGTGATTGGATAAAATGCAATGTGTCAGTGCTACTAAACTGATCCCGCATCTTAGAAGCTAACTATCATCTCATTCCCAGGGAATGAATCTCATTTAGGTGAAAGAAAGGTTGAGTGAAGCTTCATTGCACAGTTGCAATACCCAGGCCTTTATTCTGAATTCTGAAACCACGGACATCCATTTAAGTGTCTTTCCAATTCATTTCTGCCCTAATCACTTATTTTTCAAGATGCCTTACAAGCGTATTGGGATCTCCAGATCGTTATGATGGCACAGCATCATAAATGACCAAATTGTTCTTACTCTAGCAGTACATTTGTCCATTCAGCCTACACGGGGTTCCCTACGAAAATCCTGTATCTCAGCACCCCACACTTTGAGAGGGTTTGGAATCTCATAGCTCTGGCACCCGATTCATGATGACTGTTCTTTGTATAATGCTGAACCAAACAACCGGATGTAACCCATCTGGC